ATAGGGTACGCAGATGACATAGTCATCATTGCACGGGGGAAACATGAAGGCACCCTGTGTGATATTATCCAAAGAGGACTCCGCATCGCTGAGAGATGGTGCAGGACTGTCGGGCTGAGTATTAACTCAGATAAAACCGCAGTAGTGCCATTCACCAGAAAGCGAAGTTTGAAAAGAATCCATCTAGATGGAAAGGAAATACTGCCATCACAGGAAGTGAAATATCTGGGAATAACCCTGGATAGTAAACTTCTCTGGAACAGGCATATTAAGAACATTACCAGCAAAGCCACAAAGGCTCTCATGATATGCAGAAGACTGGCGGGAAATAGGTGGGGCTGCGCCCCTAACATTTGCGCTGGATGTATATATAATAGTAAGACCCGTGATTACTTATGGAGCAGTTGCTTGGTATACAAAACTAGAGCAACTTGTACAGCAAGGCAAAACCTGTGCAAAGTACAGAGACTGGCATGTACCTGCATCACAGGTGCCATGAGAAACATGTCCAACAGCAGCAATGGAGGTCATTCTAGACCTAACACCACTGCACATTGTCGTCAGTAGTTATGCCAATGCGACAATGATTAGAATGGTTACTGACGGAAACAGTACTGGGAGAATTTTTCAGGTCAGGGGCTTGGAACACCCTCAAAAAGAAAATTCCACTTCTCCAACTCCCAGTGGATGACATACCAAGAATTTACAACTTTGAGAAACACCTCACTGTAGTATTGGGTAATAAAAAGGATTGGGAAGAAAGAAACGCTTACTCAGCATATAAAAGACCATACCATCACGTGGTATACTGATGCTTCCAAAACCAAAGCAGGGAGAGGGATAGGAGTATTTGGGCCGAAAACTGAATACTCCGAACCAATGGGCACCTACCCTAGTATCCTTCAGGCAGAAATTTGCGCTATCGAAAGATGCGTACAATTTATCTTAGATAGGAACTATCGAAAACAGGAAATTGCCATCCTATCCGATAGTCAAGCAGCACTTAACGCGATCAACTCAGTAACCATCAATTCGAAGTTGGTCAAAGAATGCCTAGAGAAGCTCAACAAATTAGGCAAAGAAACTAAAGTCCTCCTACTCTGGGTGCCTGCTCACCAAGGGATAGAAGGCAATGAAAAAGCAAATGATCTAGCTAGAAAAGGAGCGAACACTCCACTAACTGGACCAGAAACGTTCTGTTTTCCAAACGGGAACCAACTGAAAGCGGAACTGAAGAATCTGGAAGACTCCATCCGTAACTTGGAATGGGTGTCCTCCAACGGTCTAAGACACTCGAAAAGTTCCTTAGAACTTATGACCGAGAAAAATCAAAGGTTTTCCTTGATTTAAGTAAAAACAATCTTCGGATTGTCACGGGGTTTCTAACAGGACACTGTCTCCTCAACGAACACCTCAGTAGGCTGAAACTGAGAAACAACGGCGAATGCAGATTTTGTGGGGAAAATGGGGAAACACCAGAACACCTTATAACTGAGTGCGCCGAGACGACGACCATTCGTGCCATGAACCTTGGTACGTCTGATTTAGAGGATGGAGAGCTAGCCTCTGTGGAGCCGTCTCAGATACTGGCTTTTCTTAAAGCCCTGAGACTGTATGATGAGTTATAACTCGTTATAACTCAAGAAAGGGGAACACACAATAGATCTATAAGGTCGCGGTGATTAACTCCCCTCCTAAACATTCTACGTTCACCCTCTTGGAACTGGAATTTCGAAAAATCCCTTCTTATCGAACCTCTACACCCTAGAATCAACCTGTATGCCAAAATTGAGCTTCTTACGTTGAGTGGTTTGAGCAGGATCGTGATTAATCAGTATGTCAGTCACTTAAGGATTTTATATATTAATATAGATTCATTGGGAATTTATGTCTCTTAAAAATAGTATTAAGGTTGCCTACCCCTCAATCAAAGATTTTTTTAAACAAACAGAGAATTGATGTGATTCTTTTAGTTGGTGACTGCTGTGTGCATTCACCAAATTATAGAATACTTAAATTCTCCTGATTTTATCTAGCCTGGCCTTTTATATTTTGATTAGGGATATGTTAAAGACAGTGTTTACAAAACTCGACCAACTATTGTCGACAACATGAGAGAAATGATTGTGGCTGTTTTTCGAAGTAGAACTCCAAAACATGAAAAGATCTTTTGAAAAAAAAATTATGCAGTAAACAGGAAAGCAAGCATTTTGAGCATTTGATTTCATCTGGCTAATTTTTGTTACATAATTATAGATTTATATCTAGTTTTAATTCTGCGATAATTAAAATATGTTTTAAACGTCTATCTTTTTATTACAGTATTTTACCCTACATCCTTTAATTTTGTTAAATTAACACAGCCACCCTAGATTTTTTCAAATAATAAAGATCTACTGATGCAAAATCATAAAAATGAAAATATCTAAGAAAATTTTTGTTTGAGGGGTAAGCAATCTTAATAATATTTTGAAGATATATCAATTCTCCATTGAACACCGAAATAATATACTGGGTGTTCTCTTTACAATAAAGGAGTAACTTTACTTTTAAAAGTGACCAATGTTCAATATTAGTTTCGTCTCACCCTGTATAACTTTTCGGGTCAAATTTTAATTTTGTTTAACATACAATGGTTATTGTAATTAAATATCAAGCTATACAGGGTAAATTACAATTTAGATAGCTGTTATTGAAATATAAATTTTATTTTTCATTTTCACAAAATGTGAAATATGTATGTCAAAATTCATTACATTTTAGGGATATGTTTCTTTAATAAAACTCACCTTTATTTTTTTCCTAGAATCCGAAAATCAATTAATATATAAATAGGTTGTTCCATTACAAAAAAAAACACAACTTTGATGTTTAATTTCTTATGGGGACACCCTGTATAACTATATATGTATATGCTTATAAAATGCTTTCAATTTATCTACATATGCTCCCAAAATTTTATTTCAATATAAACTACAATTCTCCAACAAAATTTAAAAGAAAATGAACGATTAGTAATTTTTTTTATAGTTTTTAGTTAAAAAACATAATTTTTTGATAACATGGTAACATAGGTATTAGATTAAATTTACAAGAAAGAAAATCCGGAAAAGGTCCAGTGGTTCTAAAAATTTTAGCAAAAAATCTTTTTTTTTGAGATTTTCAAAGTAAAATAACTCCGTTATTTTGGACTTATTTGAAAAGCGATAAAGAGAAAATATGTTTCTTTTGTCGAGATCTACCACCCCTTAAAATACTTGCACTTATTTCTGGGACACCCTGTATAATAGAATAGAAAGTTCTCGTCATGTAACGTTAAGTAAATACCGTAACGTAATAGATACGGTATTTTGAGGGATAAATTATATTTCTCGGAATATATCAGAAATTTATCCGTTACCGTTATAATGTTATTCATCTAACTTAGATTCTCATTGTTTATGTTCACATTTCCGGCATATTCTTGATTTCCTGTCCAACAGGAAAGGACATTGATGTTCAACATTCTCTTTACTTATGAAAAATGGAAAAAGTACTGGAAGCTGCTGTTCTTGGATATATAAATGCAGCGGAAATAAGATGCTATTTTACATATTTTAAATAATAGAGTAGACGCTATATATTGAATATCGGCCAAGTTTTACGAACATTTTAATTTATAAAATATACATGAGTGATCCATGAGTAAGATGCTTTTCCTGAATTTTAGTTGTACCAAAAAGAGAAGACTAGATTACTAGACAAAACTAGCCTAGCAATGCCTTAAACATACATCAAAATAAATTACATTGCGTGTTCCTGACCGTATTATACCGAATGATCGAAAAAAAAAACGGCGTCCAGTTAGCTTGGAAATGAACAGCGATTACATTCCCCATCCAATTTTACATACAAAATGACAGCTCTTCAACTCTTCATTTCATAGCCATCGCCGACGCAGTTTTTTTTTCGATCGTACGGTACTTAGAGTAGGAGAACAGAATCAGCTTTGCACAAAAACCAGTTCCGAAATCGTTTTATACAGGTTTTTTGATTTTCATGTTATCATGAATCTATTTTTCTGTACCGATTGAAACCGGACTCTTAGGGCCGATTTAAACCAGTCTTAGTACCGGTACCGGCACCAAAATCGGTCTTCCGATACCGGTACCGAAACCGGTATTCCGATCTTGAAAAAGACGATACCGATACTGGAATATTTCAAAAGTACCGGTACTGGTACCGGTATACCGGAAGACCGAACATCCTGGGGTCGAAATATACCACCCTTTAAACTTTAAATAATTGCACTTATTCAAGTTCAATACACCCTGTATATTCTTTGAGGCATTTCTTGAACAACCAATTATATCTCAAGAGCGATTTTGAAAAAAGAAAAAATATTAATGAAAGCCACATATTTCAGTTCCATATCTATTTCCAATTGATGATTTGGAATTCAAATGAATGATTATGTAATATTTTTGTAAAAATTAATTATCTAAACCAGAGTTTACACTGTCACTTTGGATGTACAACCAAAATGAATCACTCAGATTGAATTCATCCAAATTGAACATCCTTGTTTACATATTTTCATCCAGTTCGCAGCAGTTCACTGTTTCATCTTCCGCAGGCTGCCACCTCTCCCAGTGTTTTCTATATCGAGGTTGGCCGCACGGGTCGGCGTCGGCTGTTTACATTTTTCACTTGCCGTTCAATCTGGATGAATCAACGGTTCGTTGAACGCTTCTTTCAACAAAAGTAGGAAGACCGTCAACTTGTTTCATCGTTCAATTTTAGTGTACACTTTGGATGAAACAGTGATCAAAGGCAATTTATATTTATCACTTTGGATGATTCGTCCAAGTTGTACATCCAAAGTGACAAATGTAAATGACCCTTTAAGGTAAACTTAAAGAGATGTTTAAAATATATAAATATACCACACATAAAATGAGTTCTCGATAGCAAAACACCACCGAACGTTTTATTAACACAAATCTAATTAATACATTAAATTGTTTTGTTGCAAATTTATTTAGTTACAGATAAATTAAAATTCTATTACAATGAAAAATACTATTAAAAATATATAATTTGACATAAAGTAGTTAATAACTCTGGGTATTTATAATTAAACAAAGAAAAAGCAATTATAAGAATAAATTGGAATTATAAAATTAGTATTGTTCTTACAACATAAACAAGGTATTTCTGTATATTATGTATGTACAAACTAATTTATGAATATGTATTACAAACGATGTCGATGAAATTTAAATCATGAAAAAATCATTATGCATTTTTTTCTAGTCACTATGAAAAAGCCAGTATATATTTAACATGCAAGTATAGTATATTTTTTGTAGGGATTTACAATAAATATTTATTATAATTCTTTCGCAGAGATTCTAAGTTATTCATTTATATATGAGTAATATTCGTTCAATTTAAGAATTTAAATTAGCAGTGACCAGCTCAGAATTATAGAAATGGGACGCTTAAACGCATGAAAGAGGCATACAGTCTGTCCAAAGAATCAGGAAATTTTTCGACAAACGATATCCAAAAAATATCAGCGAAAATACAGTTTAGCTGTGAACTAAATTGATAAACCTAACTGTTACTGTCAGGAGTCTTCTCGTTGGACAGAGTATACCAGATTACCGAAAATAATCAGCATCACGGCTGGCGTATACATGCCGATCAATGATAATTTTGTGCGGATTGAAACCGAATGACATTTATTAAAAATTGACGTAAACACTTATTACAAGCTAGAATGAAAATAAAAAAATTAGAATGTGTAATTCAAACGTGCAATAAACATAATCTTTTGAAAACAGATGTCTGTCTGGAAACGTACTAAATATATAATTTAATTTTTGACAAGCTTCTATGCGAATTTATAACAAATGAAAAATTATCATCGATCGCCACTTGAAAGGCAACCGCAACGTCGATTTTTTTCATCGTATGATCGATGACATTCGCCATATAATTTATATGAATTTTACATATAGAATAGGCGAATTTGGAATAGCGATTTGGCGCGGTGTAAGTTATAGTCGGTGTTATAGTTATATATAAAAAGGGCGTAAAAGTGTCATTTCTCTCAAAAACCTAAAGTTAAACTGTACATAAAATATTTATATTTGTAGATTAATTATTTTGTTGAAAGCGCTTTACAGTTCGCAATTTTACTTGCATGCAAGAAAAGTTGCCGCAATTAACTTACAGTCCAAACCAAACCTTACATCAGCAATTTTTATTGAAATATTTTTGTTGCAGACAGAATGACCAACTTAAAGAAAAAAAAACAGTTATCAGCTGCATCGCGTCATATGCTATTTTTTCGTATTTGGTTTATTTTTGGTTGTATATGTTTGGTATTCATTGTGCGTTTGTTTATGAATAATAATTAATTAACGAACTATGAAGTGAATCGTGGAAAAAGTCAGTAATATTACAAAAAATAAGAACCGCCGGTACACCGTCATTTCTAATCGAGCATATGGTGTCAACACGTACAATATCCCACACCGACAGTTCTAATCGGGAGCTGCAAGTGTACTAATTATATGTGCACAAGAACCAACTTATCTATCGAGCGTCGCTATTCCACGTTCGCGGGGAACAAAGAATGCGGCCATGTAACGGTAAGGTCGCCAACCGACCTCTAATCCAGAGAACAGTCCTCTTGTTGATCTCACTGTCCTCTTTTCTCTCGCACTTTGAAAAAGTCCTCCCTGTCTACATACCAAACTCAGAATCTAAAAAATATTCGTCTATCGCCATAATGCTTTAAAAAACTGTTAATCTGTGTCTTTTGCTAGTCCCACTCGTTTGTAGAGAAAAGAAAATGAAGAAATAATTATGTATGTATAGAAGTATTTGTGGAAGCGATAAACATGTTTGTTTTGAATTTTTTTTGTTGAAGTTACTTTGTTTAATTTGAGCAAGTTTTGAATATAAATGTTTTTAATAAAGTTAAAAAGACCATCAATCGCATACCTTTTACATAACTTTTTGGTAAATTTTAGACATTTAGGCGAGGTTTCAAAAAATGTTTCGCTGGTGCCTCTTTTTTACCCTCACGTCCTCTATTTTTTATTTTGAAAGTTGGCAACCCTAATGTAACGTATGACCAATTAGAACTAAAGGTGAATTTATATGCATCAGTAATGCGTCGTCTGTAATTCCATCACCCCGATTATATTGAAGTCATTTTTAAATAGATCAGTAATATTGCATAAGATCAACGACGGATGACGCATATGGTAGCATGTAAACCTTAACTAATAGTCCGTGCAGTGAACAAAACCATCTAGGGCCTTAGCGGTTTTAATTTTTGAAAAAAAAAATAAAAATAACACAATTTTATTCCCAATCACAAAATAATATGTTGCCAGTTGACTTAACTTAACCAACGGTTATACAATAACTATTCTATTTCTTATTTGATATTTGAGAATACTTATTTGTATTAATATTATTTTATCAATAAAATAAAGATCTTTGAATTAGATGAAAATTTTTCTTGAAGCTATTACTATCCTCGCTAGTCAACACGGGAAATTAGACGTTGTGTATTGTATCATCTATACCTATACAGTAAGTTGAGGTACAAAATACGTCTATCAAAATTTTAATTTTTGCTAATTAAAAATGTCTTTATTATTAATTAACATACACATTAATTTCAGCCTTTGAAAACCTCTTATTTTTAGCGATTGGAATTAACAATTCATACAAACGACCTACAATTAAAATTAATTATTTGTTGACACATAAATTGACATATTCTGGGGTTGAACAAAACTAAATATGAAATATGAGGACATAAAATCGATACTCATATTAAAATAATAAACGCAGATGGATGTCTTGGACAGCTCAGTATCACTGATAAGAAAATAAATGAAAATATAGGTACTTATGCTAGGTCAATATTCAATTAATTTTGGGTAATTTCTCTATTAAGAGTTGTAAAATTGTCAAAAGTTTATTGGAAGTTTCAAAATCTTAATTAGTTTGTGAAAAATATTTCTACACCACTTTAAACCACTTAGTCATAAAATGTTTAAATACTACCAGTTGTTTTTGCAGTTAATTAAAGTGAGGTGCGATGATGTAGAAATTTTCCACTACAATTAATTCCAAAATATTCTTATTCACATCCACACATATAAATCAGAACAGAATAGCATTATTGTTGACATTTAAAAGAAATAAAAACATTTATCATTATATGCATATCTAATCTACAGTCAAACCAAATATCAACAAAAAGTAAGGCTTTCTATATCAATATATGTATGTATATGACACATATCCTATATCAAAAGAACACATCAGTATTACTTCACTTTCAAAGTCTCGACTAAGTATAGCTACGATTTGCCTATTTTTTATTTAAAGTAGGAACAAAAATCTTCAAAAATTCTACCAAAATAATACATGAAATCTAAAGTTTTTTTTTCTTTATATATGTATATTTATTATCATTATGAATTAAGGACCTCCGACAGTTAAAACTAAAATCAAATCAAAACTTTATAATTCTGCTTTAAAAAAACTATTTAGTTTACTACTTAAAACAATACAGACTTTCAATTATTTATATAAAGATAATCACGTAACATTAAATTATACTTATTTTATGTATTTTTTTATTTTTCATATTTTTTTTTAATTTTAAGATATGAGGTAAATATTAACACTCTTTGCCTTTGTATCACTTGTTCAAAGTTAATTTATAATAAACGTCCTATGCGGATCAGTACCTCATATTTTAAAATGTTTTTTTTAATTGGTGTATAAAAAAATTATCTAACTGTTATGGTGCAAGTATACACTCGGCGAGGCGACCCGAGACGCCACAAAAAATTAACGATTTGTACATTGTTATTGGTTAGGACCGTCCTTTTTTGTCACGTCTCGGGTCGCCTCGGCGACTGTGTACTTCCAGCATTAATATTCCGTTTGGGAATTATAGGTTGTTTACTTATTACTTAAATAGTAATTGTTTCGCTAAGAGCGTGATTTTCTTTGTTTGTAGATGAACAAAGAGTCTGAGAAAGAGTATATTCAATCATCCTCTTCTTCATCTTCTGATTCAGCTTGTTGAAGCCAAGTAAGCCACTGATTAACCTAGAAAAAACAAATTATAAAGTGTATTATCCGGAAAATTACACACTATATTACCCCTAAAACTTTTCATGCAGTGATATTTTACAAAAAGTGTGATGTTTATGGATAGAAAGTATAGGTTTGGTGCATTTCGGTAGATTTTGTTGACAGCGATTTGATTTCGACAGCAGCGCTCAGTACGGCAGAAATCAGAACTTTGCAGCTCTGTATTTCACGCAGTCTCAGTTACCGTTCATGTTAGTCGCTTTGAAATAATATTAAAATCGTGGTTTTCTCGCGTTGGTACTCAGGTACGAAGTTTGTGTGATGTAACGCTGTTTCCGGGTAGTAAAAGATAAGTGAAAAAGAATTCAGACTGAGCGACGCGTTATGTTTTGACAATTTCAAATGATAATAAAATTGCCGTCGTGTTGTGACAATTTCAAATGTTAATAAAATTGCCCAAAAAGATGTTAACGCGCAAAGAAGAGTTTAATTAGGGCATTGTTGGGTGCAATAACATTCAATAACTCAACTTTCCCGGATATTCAACTCTCCCGAAACAACATTTTATAGCTTCATAGTTTCTTACACTGATTTGATCAAAAGCAAAAATAGATTCAAGCAGTTCGACGAAACAAGTGAGTAAAGAAAATGCTCGTTACATAATCAAAAGATTAAACAGATATATACTATGAGAGGATTTGCAATATTAAGGTGCGTATTCATTATCCGAACGAACGAACGAACGAATGAAAGTGCGGTATATTTAGACGGGGACCGAACGCATGCGGCCGTTTGTTCGTTCGTTCGCTCGACCATCCATTTCGAGTCGGTACATCAAAGGCGTTCGCCAACAACATCTTCTAAAATTATAATGATGTAGCCTTAAAAACTTTCGTTATAGCCGAAATAGTCCCAATTATACGCCACTAGTAAAACCCGTGATTAAAACTATGCTCGCTACTGTAGTTGAACTCATATAAAAAGTTTTTTTAACCTGAATAATAAATTATAATACAAGTTAGACCTTCTGAAGATATCAAAATATTTACTTTTTTATTTTTATTTATAGAATTTTCACAAATTATACTTCCTAACACTTTTAGAATAATTAAATAATAAATTTTTCGTATACTCGCTATTTAAACCCGTGTATTTGTATATATTAGGCAGCACCGGCGGAGAATGCACCAAGCCTATAGGAACACAAAGAAGACCAACTAGTCAAAAGTTATATTACTTTTCTGTACCAACTAATATAGAAGCTAATATGCGTTTTGAACAAATCTTACAATACAAGCAATGTTCTATTTTAAAAGAAATAAGGCATATTGATAAACAATATTATAATTCAACACGTTCAAGTAATGATGAAAAATGTGGTTTAAAGAAATATATAAAAGTGGCGTTGTAACCAGTGGCGGATAAAGAGGGGGGCCCACGGGGCCCGGTCCCCCTAAAATCTGTAAATTGGGTTAAATATTAGACTTTTGGATTAAAAATGGCGCCCTAAAAGGCATATTTTGCATTATTTTTTATTTGGGCCCACCCGAAAAAAATTTCTGTATCCGCCCCTGGTTGTAACATTGCGAGATTGGAATAAAGTGTTACCTGGAATAAAGCATTTCCTTTCCCAGGATAAGCATCAGTTACATCTTCTTTCCAATTAAGAAAAGCTTCCTCTTCTACTATTTCCAACTCATATAAATCCATAAACCATCTCAGTAACTGACCGCGAGGAAAACCCAAAGCAAAAAAGTGCATTTGGAGCGAATACACTGCGACTAGTTGAAGAGATGATTTATCATGTAGAAAGGCGTGGAGTATTGGCTGGTAACGTTTCAAAAGGGCATTTTCTTTTTCCACCTGTGTAATTTCACAATTATTTTAAAAAATTATATAGCCAATTATCCTAATACTATATGTAACTATGCTATACAGTGTATTCAAAGTATTTAGATGACCATAAAAAAAATAATTTCAAATTTCTCACACATTTTAAATGTTTCAATATATCGCCTTTCCGGAACAACAATGTTAAAAAAGAACAACTAACTGTCAAATGGTTTATTTTCCAGGAGAAAGAAGTAAAAAAGTTGTAATTAAAAATGGCAATAACATTAATGAAGTAAACCTGGCTCCAAAATAATTGAACTTCATTTTATAATATTATGGCCATTTTTAATTTTAAAATTTAATTAATTTTATTTTTATTAGTTTTTCGCATATCCTCTAAAACTATATACCGGGTGATCCGAACTGTATTTCGGAAACTTCGTCAATATATTCTGCAGATAAAAATAAGTAAAAAAATTCATATAAATGTATGTCCTAAAATGCTGAGTTTCGGAAATACAGGGTGTAGAAGTTTCATTTTTATTTCGACTTTTTTCCAAATAATTTCTGAAGTAACGTCAATATTTGGATGAAAATTGGTGTCTGGGAGTTTTTTGACATGAGAAATTTGATTTTGATGTCAATATGACTCCTATCTGTAGGCGTGCCACAGGGGTGTTTTAACTGTTTTGAAAATTAATAACTTTTCGTCCGTACCTGTATAAAACTACTGAGTGAACAAATATACGTTTCCGCGAATTTTCACGTGGAAAATGTTTCTTGCTAAAAATCACTACAAGCAACCGTTCTCAAGATATTTAGAATGGAAATAGTCAATACATGTCATTATTTACAAAGAATAAACACGTTGAGTAGATAGTTATTTCGCTGAAATAATAAATTTGGAAAATTTTTATTCTTTTAAATTAATCATAAATTTTTCTGCAAAAAAATAATGATAAAACAGTTTCTGTTGAACTTTTAGCACAAAAACATTTAAAGTTTATGATTTCAATGTAATAAGTATTTAGTCAACATGTTTAATTTATGTCAATAATGACAGGTATTGATAATTTATATTCCAAATATCTTGAGAACCATTACTCCTTAGAACCATTATTATTTTTTACTATAAATCAAATCTCTCATGTCAAAAAACTCCCAGACACCAATTTTTATCAAGATATTGACGTTACTTCATAAATTATTTGGAAAAAATCGATATAAAAATGAAATTTCTACACCCTGTATCTCCGAAACTCAGCATTTTGGGTTAGTTATTTATATGAACTTTTTTACTTATTTTTATCTGCAGAATATGCTGCCGAAGTTTTCGGAATACAGTTCGGACCACCCTGTATAACACTGGCATCGCGTCGTTATGTTTCCAGGGAGGCACAAATTATTTAGTTTTAGGACTATAAAGAAGATAAATGTTATTGTTGTCATTACCATAGCCTTTTCATCCCCTGCTGACAAAGCTTCTTGTGTAATATACTTAATTAGAACAGTCACAAGGGCATTGATAAAGCCTGGATCATTAAAATTAGAAGTTTCCAGATTTTCCTAAAAAAATAATCAATGTAAATAAAATTCCTCAAACTATTAAAAAATATCTTTACCTTTATCCACTTGTAAAACGCTTGTGGATTAGGATCAGTAGATAGTTGTTTTGCCAAGTCTGCTTGTATACGCAATAACGGGTAAAGGAATACAAGTTCCCGCTCCTCTAATATTTCGGAAAGCCTCTCTTTTGTTCGGTCTGGTTCAGGTAATTGTGCCATCAAATTTACCTTAAAAAGAAAACTTGATATATGCCAATAAAATTATAGAACATTTGCACAACATAATTGCGTTGCATAGAAGCAGAATATTCAATATTAAAGCTTAAGTTTTTAAAATATATCCAATTTAATATCAAAGATAACGAAATAGCATCTGCACTTCATAATGAAGGCATATTAAAATATATGATACCTACTTTGAAAAGAGGGCTTAAATTTATTTTGAATTAAAATAACAGATAAGAGTCTGTCGAACGAGTCAGGGAACATTTCGACAAACAACATCCAAAAAATTACCGAAAATATAATTTAATTGTGAAATAAAATGACAAGACAGCTGTGTCTCCTAGTTAGACATACTTTATTTATAAAAGAGAATGACGCTTACCTTGCTTTTGTTAAACATTTCACTTAGTTCTGACTTTCCTCTCTTCTTTTTAACTCTCTGCAGTACCAACAAGAACAACGGGTGATGTGCACCATTATCTGTTAAAGTAGCTACATCAGATAGGGGCGTTAAATGCTCGCAAACAGCAGCGGCCAACAAAACTGATGCAGCAGTGATAACCTTTTCTTTTTCTTCACCGTCATTGTCTCTTTGATCTAACACGTGACACATTGACTTAAAAGCCTCTTGAACAGCATTTCCAGACACTATACAATCTTCCTTAAGATTTCCAAGTAATTTGATTAACTTCTCCTGTTCAACATCTAAAAACAAATAAAAAGTGTAGCTTTATATCAAATAAAATATATAATATGAAAATGTTATAATTCAATAAAAATATTAATATATAAAAATTAAAATTTTAATACCTGACTTGTCAAGAGCTAATGATAAGCCAGATAAAATGACTTCTTTAGCAAACTTCTCTGGAACCTTATGTTCTTTGTAGGCATTAATAGCCTGTTTTAGATCGATATCCCCTTTCCAAAATTCATCTAATAAAGTATTGAATTTCTTAACCACCTCCTCTTTACTCGGACCCTATAAAAAATATATTGTTTATAAAAAATGTAGGGATAAAATATGATAATAAATTCGCAATATCTTTAAAATGCATTAATCAGTTCTACGAAAAAGAAACTATACAGAGTAAGTTTTAAATAATTGCCAATATTTTCATGATATATTTCAACCCTAGGAACACGTCGATGAACACGTTTTTTTCACAAAAACAAAGATGTTGAAAATCGACAGGATTTTTTTAAATTGATAAATATGGCCCAGCCATACCGCCTGCAGCGTCCCTAACGTATAGCAAATAAACCCCGTAAATCAGCTGAAACCACAGAATGTTTTGAAATTTAGAGTGAGCGTGTTTACTAGTCGCAAAGTGTTTTTAAGTTGATACAATTCATTTTGATTTATAATTTAAACAAAAAAACAACTTATATTTATTGTGAGATAACATTGGTACTCGTGAGCACTATATCCTTAATTAAGTTAACAATTAAACAAGAAAGGCGCCTTTGGGTGGCGTGCAATAAATACCATTTAGGTGAAATTTTCAAATTTTGAATTAAAAAATAATATCTTAAAAACGTGAAAACATCGGTAGTAGGTTAAAATTAGACGAACAAATTACAGAAAAAATCCTGTGACTCAAAATTAAAAAAAAAACATTTTTTTAACTTGGTAATTTAAATAACTCGGTTATGTTAGACTTATTTGAAAAAAGATAAAGAGAAAATATGTTTCTTTTATTGAGATCTGCTAGCCCTAAAAATATTTGCACTTATTTAAGACTCACTCTGATAATATAATACATTGGCCTAATGGTGATAACTGTGACAGTTCATATTTTTTCCTATTTTGAAAAATAAAATAAAATTACAATATAAGTGTTAACAGATAGGTACAACGCGGTCTCACCAGAAAAAAAAATAAAACTTACCTTGTCTTTCTTAGACTTAGGTTTGTCCTGAGTAAGTGGTTTCATAGGTAGTGGTTCCTTAACAGCACTAGGAGGCTGTTTACCTCCTCCAAACGAGGGCAGTTCTGATTGTGTATTTCGAGACGGTTGCGAGCCCATATTAGCAGCGTTATGATTGCGTACCGACGCTTTGTTAAATAACATTGAGTTTGGACGAAGTTCGACTTCCTGGAGCTCCTCTTTGGCCACTATAAGATTATTACGTTTAAAACGAGGAGCCATATCTTTGTTCGATTCTGAAAAAAAATAAGATTATATAAATTTAACATACCTACATACCACCGATTTAAGCATTTCTTAAGCTGATCTAACAGATATGTGCGTCATTTTTAGCAGGGTTGGAAAAAATCATGATATTTTTTAAAAAATCAGATTTTTTTTATTTAAATCAGATTTTTTTGATTTTAATCGAAAACATTATTTAAATTGGATTGCCAAATAATTAGGAATTAATTCCAATTAAAGTCCTATACTAAATGGCTAAATCTTCATAACTCTGCCCGATAATGATAATATTAACAATTCTACGGCGCGTGTCATTTTCCCACAGCGGTCACCAATATATTCCCCCAAAAAAGTCGCTCGCTTCAGATCAAAAGGATTTTTTTTCAAATGTCACAAGAGTATTAATTTTTTTCATTTCAACGCCTAGGCATAAAAATAAAACACTTTTACGCCTAAGCTTAAAAGTACAAAAATATTAAACTGATATTAATCATCAATTTCAACGAGTGAACAAATTGTTACTTGATTACTTACAAGGTATTACTTACGTATATATTATTTGCAACGTTTGAAATTGATTAAAAAATTATTTGTAATGTTTGAAAATAATAGTATATTCTACTCGGAGTAAAAATGTAATTTTGTGCCTCCCTGCTAGTCCGTCAAATGTACAACCTTGTCAAAAATAGTATAATTTTTACTCCTTACACAATACACTACTGTTCAGAAATAGTCTTAAGTCGAGAATGAAATCTATTGTCAAAGTGTAAAATACTTACTACGGGTCGAAATGTCGGTAGAAATTTGGAAAGAACTAGAAGATAAATTGATGAAGGCAGAAGTTATCTTGACCAATATACAGCTGGTTCAAAAAATATATAAAACAGCATATTTTCTGACAACGATATGAAGATATAGTCTAACATCAAAAGAACCTTTTTTCTGCACTAGAGGTTGCGAATGAAATGTACTAGAACAGCATTTTTTGGCACTTGTACATAAATTTCAAAATAAATCCCTACCCTTTAGAAGTCTAATGGATTCACACGAAATTACTTCAAAAATCGGTACAACATTTTAATTCATGAATAGATATGTAGGGTATATATTATACAAATCATTTTTCATATGGTTTTATAATATTTACAATTATTTTTCGATTTACTAAAGTATTTAAACGTTACAATAGCAAATGTAACATTTTATTTAATGAATAGATATAGGGTATATCTGTTATAGAAATATTTTTTATAGTTTTCTAGGACACATTTTTATAACTTTTACAGTTATTTTTCGATTTATTGTAAAGTATTTTAAAAAAGTTGATTTCTTGATTTAAATTATATGATTAAAATTAAAAAATCACTTGATTTAAATCATGCCAACCCTGGTATAAAGTAAAGTGTAGCGCCACTTTCCCAAGTATTTTCTGACGGCCTACAAAATTCGGCAGTTTATTTTTTAGGATACAGTAAAGCTTTATTCGTCCCCGTTTTAATTCTTACCGATTTCCTAAAATGAAATCTTAAATAGATTGTGCAACTTATTTATTACTTAAGTGTTTTATGTGCCCAAAAATTTGAAATTTAATTAATTTTAAACGCAAAATTAAGTTAGAATTAAAGAATTTATATTTCCCTACCTGACTACCTAATCCTAGAGGCGCGGCGCGACCTTCAGAAACTTCCCCAACAATTCGGCTATATCATAACCGGCCGTCGAAAAACACGGTCATGTAATGTATGAGAAGTAAATCTACTATTTTCTATATACTATGATAGAGAGGTTAGGTTAAATACTTACGATTATTGAAATTGGACCCTGAATTATTCTGGTTGTGTTTATAATGTCCTCTTCTGCTACCTTCGTAGTTTCCGCTATTGAAACCTTGACCTCCCCTTCTATCCCCTCTGAAGGGACCGTCTCTTCCATCTCTGCCCCCAAAGCCGTTGGGACCTCCAAAAGGAGGTCCCACGGGAATCAAAGGAGCTGGCGAGGCTGTTAGACTCAATCCTGCCAGCATATCGTCAATACCACCGCGAGTTTTCAGCGGATGTCGGAATAAAGAATCAGTCTGGTTCCTTTCAGAGTCCCTGTCATGTTGATTGCGATCTCTAAAGAATAAATATAAAATGATGGTATTATAATTTTTTTCCTGAAATACGCACTAGAAATACTAATTTTATATGGTTATTAAAATTACTGAAACATGAAGAACAATAATGATTACATTTTTATTCTTTTTAGTATATACCGGGTGCGTCTCAAATATGGCTCATCTCTATAACTTCTTTATTTATTCATATAAAAAAACGAGATTTGGTATATTGGTATATGACATAAATTAGGATGGATTGACGTAGTCAATTGTTTTTGGTCACTTCCTGTTTCACCGGAAATGACTACAACTTTTGATTTTTAAATGGCACTATCGGTATATTTCTACTTTATTCGATAGAAAATGACATTATCAATAGAATGACATTATAATATCATATGTCAACTTTTGACATTTTCGCATATGGTTTATTTGAAATGGTAACATGCAGTTGATAACGACAATTTGACTCGAAATACCAAGTGTATGGTACCAAATTATTTGTAAAAAAATGATTTTTCCAAATATGCTGATGAGCCACCCTTGTTCAATTTGAAAAAATTGAGATATGATTAAAAATACAATTTGGGCGTCTTTTAACCGGCCAGGATGAGACCTGAGAGAGTGAAAAATATTAGACGATCAAAACTATTTTTACAAGGCACCTTGCTTAAAAATTAGTGTTTTTAACACAGCCATTGCACTCTAGAATGAAATTTAAAATACGATTTGTTTTTAAGCGAAAATGTCAAAAGGTAACATATGATATTAATGTCATTCTATTCAGAGTGTGTCATTTTCTATCAAATAAAGTAGAAATATACCGAGGGTGCCATTTAAAAATCAAAAGTTGCAGTCATTTCCGGTGAAGCAAAAAGTGGCCAAAAACAAATGAATACGTCAATCAATCCTAATTTATGTCATATACTAACATACCAAATCTTGTTTTTTTTATCTGAAAAAAAATAAAAAGTTATAGGGGTGGGCCACTTTCGAGACGCACCTCGATACGCATTTCTCCATTCGCCACTTTCGATACGCATTTCTTTTTATATTTATATATATATATATATATATATATATATATATATATATATATATATATATATATATATATATATATATATATATATATATATATATATATATATATATATAAATATATATATATATATATATATATATATATATATATATATATATATATATATATATATATATATATATATATATATATATATATATATAATATATTATATATATATATATATATATATGTTCTAATTAAAAATCGAAATAGTATCAAAAATTTTGTTCCTTATATTTCTAGTCTTATGCTAAAAGAGTTCAATATTTTTACTTGTTATTATTATTCGTTCTTATTTTGACTAAATTACAATAAAGAAAAAACTCAGTTTATAGACCTTCTAAGTTTCTTTTACTGTGACAAATCTAAAAACCTAATAGCTAGAAAGCTATTGGTAAAGTTATATTAATGACACTGTAGCCTAAATTTGAATAGATAACATTCAAATAATAACATTCTTTGTACCAATGAAATAAAATTATTTATTTTCAGTTTAATGTCCATGCATGATTTTTTATAAAAAGTTAAATTTTAATTTTTATTCTACCTTCTGAAACCTGGTCGATCATCATCTGCAGGTCTTATCTGTGCAATAGGAACAGGCCCCTCTACAACAGTAGCTTTTCTGGGCATCCATTCATCAGTCCTCAAGTCAATTATATCTTTCAACATAAACCTGATTCAACCAAATAAAGGAAAATTATTTTTATGGCATATGATCCAAATTTTAATTTGGTTTTGTTTTATGTACATAGTTAGTTTTCAAGTTTTATATTACAAGTACAAGAACAATATTCTAAATGATGTCTAATTGAACAAATCAATTATCAAAAAATAATTTGAAAAACAACAAATTAATTGAACCTCAATAATAAAGATATGAGAATGTTGATTTAACACTATTATTTCCACTAATTTTGTCGCAATAAAATTACTTAACAAAATAAATAATTGAACTGGCAAAAACATTCTAGGGTTTTGGAAAATAAAAACATGAAATGCGATGACTTAAAGCAGAAAAATAAATGTTGAGCCAATACTAACGTAGAAGTCTAAACTAATAAACTACTATAAAAATTATCGCATATATTCTAAAAAGAAATATTAATTTGAAAAACAAGACACTTTGAATTCCCTGACTTAACGGTTTTAAATAGTTTGGATACTGTGAAGGAAAGTTCGAAACAATAAGCCTACGCGTTGACCTTTAATTTCTAGTCGGCCTACTATTTAGTTGCCAAAATTGAAAACAAATACTTAAGGAGCCGATCGGCCGACCGTTTGATTGCATGTGAGCGCGGCTCCATAAGTATATACTGGTTACAAATATGCAACTCAATAGTCGGCCGATTAAAAATTGCCTGTCAGCGTAATATTGGGCAGATGGGCTCCATAAGAATGTATTGTTTTCACTTTTGCAACTAAATAGTCGGCCGACTAAAAATTACATGTCAATGTGTAATCTAATTATCCTAAAAAAAACTCACAAGAGAAAGGCAGAAGAATGCATGCTTCATTTAGAAATATGTGTTAATTACTTTTATTCAAATATGAATTGTTTTGAGTAGTGTAGTAGTTCGACAAACTGTTAATAAACTAAAATGAATGAACTAAACTAATTAAATGATAACGAAACAGAATAGCTTATTGAAATGTAAAAAACAGTATATAAAAGTATGTACATAATAGGTGTATACTAGTTTTTAGAATAAATAAATAAATGTGCAAGCTCAAATCTTCAGACTGTTGTTTAATTTGACTCTATGCACCAGACGGAGTACCAACTCAGGCCGTAAAACTAAAGTTACTACAATCTAAAAATCTGAAGACATACAACTTTCCCTGAAAAATATATATACCTTATCCGGGGCTGCAGGTCCATATTATTGGCCAGTGTACGCATTCTGTCAAAATACTGGTCCATGAGATACCGACCCTTGTCCGTGTCCAGAATGCGGCCACATGTGCGCATAATTTGACATAAACACTCAAGATCTTCTGAAGGATCATCTCCTCTACGAACCAATAATTCCTAGGCAAAATAATAGAATTTAAATTTTATTAAAGCAGTCCGAGGTCGTAAAACTCTAGAAACAATAAATTTCTATTGCCAATGTACTCAAAATGTTCCTTGGGAAGAAATAGAAAGATGTACTGTGAGATAGACCATATATACAGGGTGTTTCAAAACAAATGCGAAAAACTTTATGGGGTGATTCCTTGTTCAAAATAAAGGGTAGTTTGCTTTATAAACGTTTGGTCAAAAGTCAACCATTGGGGAGATATCGCGGTACAAAGATGGCGGAAAAACAATGTTTTTATTTTTTATCTTGAAAACGAAAAGAGATAGACTAATGAAATTTTATGGAAGCATTACTGTTATGAAAACACACTTTCAGGTAATTTTTTTACTTTTTTAAAATGAGTGGAAGGGGTTGAAATAAACTACCCCTATCATTCTTGTTAACGAAATTTAAAGAAAAATCTTATCAAACACATGCAAATGCTTTAATTTGGATAGTTTAGTTTGTTTAGAAACTTTTTTAACTCTTGTGTTTTTTTGATAAAACTCACCGATTGGAAATTAAAAAATAAAATGTAAAGCATTACATGTCAGGACAAAAAATATTTTTAGATTAAGAATATAGTGATAATAACGATAATAAAAATCATCTAGATAATAACGTATTGCAGTAGAATAATGTCAAATAAAATAATATTAGGAACATCCTAAAAAGTAACAGCGGCCGACTAGATTTTTTCCTAAAAAAATTACAGCAGCCCACTAGATTCTTTATCAGAAAATGTTTTTTGTCCTGACATGTAATGCTTTACATTTTATTTTTTAATTTCAAATCGGTGAGTTTTATCAAAAAAATACAAGAGATAAAAAAGTTTCTAAACAAACTAAACTATCCAAATTAATTTTTTTGCATGTATTTGATAAATTTTTTCTTTAAATTTCGTTAACAAGAATGATAGGGGTAGTTTATTTCAACCCCTTCCACTCATTTTAAAAAAGTGAAAAAATTACCAGAAAGCGTGTTTTCATAACAGTAATGCTTCCATAAAATTTTATTAGTCTATCTATTTTCGTTTTCAAGATAAAAAATAAAAACATTATTTTTCCGCCATCTTTGTACTGCAATATCTCCCTAATGGTTGACTTTTGACCCAACGTTTATGAAGCAAACTACCCTTTATTTTGAACAAGGAATCACCCCCTGCAGTTTTTCGCATTTGTTTTGAAACACCCTGTATAGACTATATATAGATATATATAGACTCACTAGATAAACATTGAAAATGTGTAATAATGACATGACAAGATTATCCAAATCTATCGCACTACACCTAAACACTTTTCTATATTCTAGCAGTGGCGGAACCTTTAAAATTAAGGAACAATTTATTTTTTGTATCTAGCTTTTTATTTATTCCCAGTATAACTTAAAACAATTCTACACAATAAAACACATTCAACACAATAAAACAAATAAAAAAAGATAATTTATATACCGGGTGCGTCTTAAAAGTAAGTGGTTCACCCCTATAACTTTTACATTTTGTCAGATAAAAATCGAGATTTGGTATGTTAGTAAATGACATAAATTAGGATTGATTGACGTATTCAATTGTTTTCGGAAATGACTATCACGTTTCACCGGAAATGACTATCACTTTTGATTTTTAAATGGCACCCTCGGTATTTTGTTAGTTTATTCGATAGAAAATGACACTCTGAATAGAATGACATATCATATGTCAACTTTTGACATTTTCACATATGGTTTATTTGAAATTGCAACACCCGATTCATAACGACAATTTAACTCGAAATACCAAGTGTGTAGTATCAAATTATTTGTAAAAAAGATGCTTTTTCCAAATATTCTAATGAGCCACCCTCGTTCCATTGGAAAAAATTGAGATTTGATTAAATATACGATTTAGGCATCTTTTAACCGGCCAGGACAAGACACTAAAAACATTAGACGATCAAATCTCATTTTCCAAGGCTCCTTGATTAATAATTAGTGTTTTTAACAGAGCCATGGCACTCTAGATTGAAATTTAAAACACAATTTTGTTTTAAGCAAAAATTTCAAAAGTTGACATATATGTCATTCTATTCAGAATGTTATTTTCTATCGAATAAAATAAAAAAATACCGAGGGAGCCATTTAAAAATCAAAAGTTGTAATCATTTCCGGTGAAACAGAAAGTGGCCGAGAAGAATTGAATACATCAATCAATCCTAATTTATGTCATATACTAACATACCAAATATCGTTTTTTTATCTGAAAAAATAAAAAAAGTTATAGGGGTGGGCCACTTTTGAGACGCACCCGGTATACATCCAGCTCCAGGCGCAACATATAAGCCGCGTAAACCCAGCCCAAAAAGAACGCGACTCGGCAGAGGCGAAATAATTCTAGTTTGAATTGCCTACCTATTATCACCGACGATTTAAGGCAGGCGGCCACTGCGAGCGTAACTAAACTAAGCTAAGAATATAAAAACAAACGGTAACTAAACGAAAATAAATTTCATCGGCCACTGGGAACGATTTTCGCTAAGTAGTCAGCTAAGTTAGCTGCGTTTTTCTATTGTATCTGTGCTGTCATAGAATTAATCGCTGCGAAAAATTCGCTGGAACCTGTCACGAACTAAAACGAGCGAAACTACAACTACGATTTGAATCTTCGTTCATATATTTTTGTTTACTTTCGCTCAAGTGGCCGCTGATGCATTTATAAGTATGGGAGCTGATTTTTAAAAATCTTATCTTCGCTTGGCTTAGTTTAGTTTCGCTCGCAGTGGCCCCCCGCCTTTAAAATCATGTAACGAGACGGTCGACGGATCTTCTCTATCGCAGGGTCGAGGCGAGATATTTGACGCTTGGGCGTCTTTTTACTGGTAGTTTAAATCATATGACTATTGACTATTGAAAAATGCGACGTCTCGATCTGTGCGACGCGACGTCTCGATTTAAAGTGTCGTGGCTGAGTAGTGAGAACAGCGTGAGTGAATTAATTAGCGTATGATTTTGTTTTTCTTAGTATATTTAGGGCGAGAATTATTTAGATTGTTTGTGTTTCCAAATTTAAATTATTTGATGGCTATTAGATACAGTATTTTTAACTCGATTACACACAAGTAAGGTGGAATTTTAACAGTTTTTAAAATTCAACGAAACAAATATTATTGAAATTTGAAGGGTAGGCTTTTCTCCGCCGGTATGATTTATTTTAAAATACCGAAGAGGAGTTGAATTTGAAGGAGTGTTTTCTTTAAAATGAATCTCTGAACATGAAACTCCTTTTCCAAAACGAAATGAAACTGTAAAAAAGACAAATATTAAGGAGTCAAAAATGTCCGCCATATTTAACGATAACAGGCAAGGTAGGCAATAGGTATTTAAATTTTTTTTGAAATATCTGGGTACTAAACCTAATAATTTTCGTACCGTTAAAAAAGAAGGACAACGCAGAATAATACTTCATAGGTTTTTAACCTCATGTTATGTTACCTCAGTTTGAGACGTACCCTGTATAGGAAGATGAGGCTCTTCCTATACCAGGTACGTCTCAAAAGTGGCTCACCCTTATAACTTTTTATTTTTTTTTTTAGAAAAAAAACGAGATTTGGTATATTTAGTATTCAATTGTTTTTCTCTGTCAGCAGGAATGACTACAACTTTTGATTTTTAAATGGCTGCCTCGGTATATTTTTATTCAATAGAAAATGACAGTCTGAATAGAATGGCATATAATATGCCAACTTTTGACATTTTTGCTTTAAAAAAAATCGCGTTTTAATTTTGAATCTAGAGTGTTATCCTTGTATATATATTTTTAAAGTAGATCAACCTAAGACGTTTATGGACTAAGACTACTAGATGGCAGGACCGGTTTCCCTACAGAAATATTTTTTTTGTTACTCTGAATTTTGAAGCTACCAATAAAAACAGAGAAAATAAAAATCGATAATTTTCGGACTGTGCCAATTGGTTACTTATCGACCAGATACTTTTTATCTATTAGATATGCTATAAAAGCTGGCAATTATACAATTCGACCATTGTAAATACCCGACAAATTCTTCAACGCCGACGAGGCCGATGTTTCTCACTGATAAATAAAAATGTTTGTTTAGATAATTTTTGAGGTATTTTTTCTTTCTGAATGCACATTTTAAAGTATTTTATATTTTTGTCCCCTTGACCTATTATCCTGGTCGCACGTATGGAAGTTCTGTTTCTTCTAGTTTTAGAAAATGTTCTTATTTCTTTTTTCTTTGCAGTTGTAGTGTAAAATTAGATTAATTTATTAAGTTTAATTATAGTGTTTAGTGTAGCATGTTAGTGTTAGACCAAAAATAGTTTAGTAGTGTTTTTATAGTTTATTTTGTAGTTAAGTAGTAGGTGAAGGGATAATTTTGTTATTTTTTCTTTTTGTTTGATAAATTAGTAATCAAATTGATAATTTGTTCAGTCTAGAATACAAGAATAAGTAGTTGTTTAGTGTTTTTTAAGAGATTATATTCGTTTATTTTGTAGTTGAGTAGTAGCTGAAGGGGTATTTGGGTATTTCTTCTTTTTGTTTTTCTTGTAATTGTAGTAGTTCTATTAAGTATTGTGATAGATACACTATATCTTCCTTCAACTTCGTTGAAAAGTGCGTTGTCATATAATCTTGGTTTTCTCGTAGCAGAATATACGAAAAAAATCTGATCAAATTTATTTGAAATTAAATTAATCTAGTCTTATTAATCAAATTAAACTAGTAAAATAATAATAATAGTTAGTTTCAAAATACTATACAGGGTGAGTTTCCTACGATGTTCTCTATGGGTATCTCGGAAACTACTGGAAATAGAGAGTCGGTTAAATGGGGAAAGAATTGCAATTTTGTGGGCGCCTTTCGGATTTTTGCTATTTTAAAACTTGTCCCTAATTCCATTATAATATATTTTAGACAAAAAGTTTTCAGATACAAGTTGTAGATAATTACATACCTAATGAGTTTGTGTTTTCTGATTTTTTCAAAAGCCTGTAATTTTTGACCATAGTTGGCCATGACTTCATAAAAATCACCATTTTTAAGCTTTTCAGCGATATAGGTATATATGTTTTTATCGAAAAATTACAGTTAGATACAAAGTTATAGTTATAGCCAATTCTTTTCTTTCTTGGCTAATTTCACTTAGTTGGCATGGTATTCTTACTCTGTTATGATTTATAACATAAAAACACAGAATATATTATTAAACGGTTCTTTACAACTTACATTACGCAAACTAAAACTTCATAATATCACTACCCCATACACAGTTCCCCATTTAACCGACTCTCTATCTGCAGTAGTTTTCGAGAAACCTATAGAGAACGTCGTAGAAAACACCCTGTGTATTGAAAATACTGAAGACCATAATATGAAACAGAATAAAAAATAAATTTTTGCATTATCTAATTAAATTATTTTCCTGATACATTTTTTTAATGAAAATGTACTTGAATTATTTCAGTTAGACATGTATCCTGCTTTTAGAAAGTTTTATGGTTTAACGGGATTTGTGTGTGAGTTAAAATAACGAAATTTTTAGTTTTTATAATTCTTTACACATACAAAGTTAAAGCAAACTTGATTTTAAAACTCTGGCCATATTTTACATTAATAAAGATTTAATTGGTGTAATAAAGTAAATATATTTATTTTAATGTCAAATAATATTGAAGCAAGTTGCAATTTTTTGAACATTTAATCAAGAATGTAAAAAGTTTTGTTTTCAAAAAAAAATATCGTAAAATTCGTTAAACAATCAATTTAGAATAAAATAATCTAAGAATGAAATGATTCTTTAATAAACCTGCATTAAATCAAATTAAAATAGGTATGTAACTTTTTTTGAATATTAATTATCAACAATTAACATTATCATAAACTATAAATAATGTACCAACATAATTTCTTTGTTAATACGGTTTAGAATTCTTAAAATAACAGGCAAAAATAATCCACAATTTACAATAAAATAAAAGTTTCGTTTAAATTTATTAATCAGCTGATCACTATTAAAGTTCGCAGAAACCCGGGCTATATTATTACATTACTCTGAGGAAAATAACGAAAATAATCGATATTTTTGACTCCGCCCCGAAAGGTTCACGATTTGTCCTCCAGTTGGCAGCACATTTTGTCTAGTCGGTTGGGCAACTTTAAGAATATATAAACAAGGGTGTTATTAATGGTTGTGTTAAAAACACTAATTTTTAATCAAGGATCCTTGGAAAAATAGATTTAATCGTCGTTTTTCGTGTCTTGTTCTGACCAGTTAAAAGATGCCCAAATGGTATTTTTAATCATATCTCAATTTTTTCAAATGGAACAAGGGTGGCTCGTTAGTATATTTGGAAAAAGCATTTTTTTACAAATAATTTGATACCACACACGTTATTTCGAGTCAAATTGTGGTTATAAAACGCATGTTACAAAAGTTGACATATGATATATCATTCTATTCAGAGTCCGACGATATGTCATTCTATTCAGATTCACAGACATTTTCTATCAAATAAAGTAAAAAAAAATCCGAGAGTGTCATTTAAAAATCAAGAGTTGTAGTAATTTCTAGTGAAACATGAAGTGACCAAAAACAATCGAATACGTCAATCAATATTAATTTATGTCATATACTAACATACCAAGTCTCGTTTTTATCTGAAAAAATAAAAAAGTTATAGGGGTGAGCTACTTTTGAGACGCACCCGATATACCCACGAGCCTCCACTGTATTCTAAAGAAACATTGCGATCATCAAAATCAATCGAAGTTATTGTACCTAATAAAAAAATAAACTTACTTTAATACACTTATGCAATATGTTTTCTGATAGAATTTCAAGCTTGCCAAGCTCTCCAATAAATTTAATGTTGCCCAACATTTTACGTTTGGCAGTTTGACGCCTCTCCTCCCTCTCGTCGCGATCGAGTAAGGTGCCATCTTCACTAAATCCATTGATATTGCGTTCTAAGGCAGCTGCACGATTATCAAACTCTACCTGTAACAAATACCATCACGGTTACAGAACAATATCTTGATATTTCGCCGCACAGAAAACTAAAATTTAAGCTTACCTTGCACTTATTAAGAAGAAGAATACGGAAAGTATTTGTTGTGCCGTCACCTTTTTCAAAATTGGGCGCTTCTTCGCTCAGCCGCTTGCACAGCTGAGCGTACATCGACGAGTATTTGGGCTCATCTAGGGCCTAAAAATAAGATATACCATTACCTTTTTTGATCGTTTGAAATAGCTGGTCAGTATTTTAAAGAGTAACACAAAGATAAAAGATACCCAAGTTACGTTATAACCGTTCGATAAACAGAGACACAATGAACAGCAGTCTTGCCGGTTCCTACTAAGATAGGCCTATTTACGATTATAAACGATTATATATTTACGATTATATATTATATATTTACGATTATATATTATATATTTACGATTATATACGAAAACAAAAATAGAGTTAAACGCGTTATTAGAAGCGCCAAAATGTATATTATAATCTAGGTATAAATAATGTAGCAACATAATTAATTGTTGACATATTAAAAGTCAAACCTTTGTTGTAATACTATTCAAGACGCTTTCTTTGTCGTTTTCATTTTTTTATGGAAAATCCGACAATATTGCATAAAAGAAAGATATATCGGCCCACTTTTTGTCTTTTTTTTAACATATTTCCATCAATTAGGGTAGTTTCATCACACATTAAATTCTAGACCACCTATTAGACACTAGAAATTATCCGTGACAGTAGGATGACGCAATGGATTTGAAGACCTTTCAAAATGGATTAAGAGATAAAACTCCATCCTTACGAATAATTTCGTGTGTCGCAGAGTGGTAAAAAATGGTATTATCAGATAAATACAAACAAAAGTAATATTTGAACCGTTACTATTTCTACCAATAAAGTTTTTGATGGTGTAAAGGTCTGTGCACATTATCATACACGTATACAGGTTGTTAATTTGTTTATTACTCGCGGCAAGAGCTTCATGGTTGAAATATGGCAACCTCGGCCCGCTCGTCGATAGACCACGCGACGGGACGATTCGGCAGAAAACCCTATAAGTGCATGCGTTCTCAATAGGCAGTGTTGCCATTCTGTTCCCCTATAAGTAACTGTCCAGTTAACAACTTGTATACATTTCCAGCACATAGCGTACATATTCATAGACGCAGCGTTTCAGTTTCAAGTGTTGTTTGTTCATTTTTCTCGTAAAAAATATGTGTAACTGTACTTCTACTGAAAGTAAATTAAACAAGACAAAATTCAGAAGATTTGCAATATATCCAATGTTAAAAGAATTAATATAATTTCCGACAAGATCCGCACCTACCGGCATCCGACAAAATATTATTTATGGGTATACTGAACAAAAAACGTTACGTGTATGATAGTGTGTATTACTACTATTAAAACCACTAAAATATTTCGGAATCACAACGTTACGTTCCGGGAACGAAAGGGATATGATAATGCGCACAGACCTTAACTAATATAGAAAACAAACAGAAAATATGATCCCCTAAATGTTTTTAATGAAAATATAAAAATAGTTAACATCTGTGTCTGCTAAAAAAAGTCTAATATACATTTTGCTTACCTTGTCAAATATAAGAATAATAACGCCCTTTAAGATGACCGGCGACTGCAGCTCAACGCGCAGCAAGTCGTCGCTCAACTTCTGGAACTTTTCAGGTGTAAGTTTGTTAAGAATGCCCCGGATCTGTAATAAAAACCAATAATTCATAAACAGATAATACAAATTAATTAGAATTTACTTAGACATACCGTATGATAAAAAAAACGGCGTCAGCGATGGAGCGATGGCTATGAAATGAAGATCGCTGTCAATTTATATGGAAAATGTCATCGATCGTCATTTCCCAGGCAACTGGACGCCGTTTTTTTTCGTTCATACGGTATTAAATACATATATTGGAAGGAAAGGTTAGGGTGCGCACACAAAGAAAGCTGGTTAATGAGCGCCAGACAGAGCGCCGAAAATAACAATATGCACACCCAGCACAGGCAATAAGCGATTTTTAATTCTTAAAAAATCGTTCCGGTAAAAAGTCGGCGCCGATGTACGCTGTCAACAAGCGCCGATAAGTTTTTTTTCTGTGTGCTGGTGTGTTTAAAGGCTGCCATTCACTAGGCGATAAACGAGCAATCCGATCGAGTCGCTTTCGATCAAATTTTCGAAAGATCTCCAGGTTAGTGCGTCATTTCAATCAAATTAAAAGCGATATTGTGGTTGCCGAGCAATCTTTTGATTTACAGTGCGGAAGGTGAATCGGGTTGCGATTGCCAGCAATTTAAAGAGGATGTACGAGGATCGCCCAATCACTGGACATCGGCAACAACCTAACATAAACCAACCAAATTGCTTGAATGTCGCCTTATAAATGGTCCGTTCCAAGCAACCAAATTTCTAAGAAATTTAGAAGCAGTGAATCGCCCAGTGAATGGGGGCCTTAAAAGCAGCATTTAATTATTGGCGCTTACTTTTTTACATTCACACGTCGTTGTGTACTATTGAGACGACTTGTAGGCGCTGGTAACCAGATAACGATTTTCAGCGCTGGTAATAGGCGCCTTTAAACCAGCTTTCTTTGTGTACGTACCCTTATATTAGATTTGATGAGACGGGTATCTCATCTATAGATTATATTCTCCAGTAGGGTGAGCCAAAAAAACAAACCTATGGAATTAATGGGTTAAAATGAACCTAATAACCGAGAAGAAAATATCCCCGGAAGGCAGGATTTTTAGCTCAATTTTAAAAGGTATCGGTCCATAACTTTGAAGATAAATTATAATAGATAATATAATAGATAAATAAAATAAAATGTACATCGCGGATTTTTGTAGAGCATAAAACTTCCTAAAAAATCTAAGAGTAATTATCTGAGAGTAATCTAGTTTTTTTTTCTAAATACGAAAATGTTTAATCAATAAACACTAAAACTGCATATTTTGATTTTTTTAACTTTTCAAAGCTTTCAAACATACGAATTATTAGATTGAAAAAATACTCTCTGATAGATTTTTTACAAAATTTTATGCTCTACAAGAATCCGCGATATATTTTTTTTATAGTAAACCGTTTCAAAGTTATGGTACTTTTAATGGAAAAAGATTTTTTTACGTGTTATTTAAATGGAAAACTTTGAATGTTCACCGACACCTTTTAAAATTGAGTTAAAAATCCAGCCTTCTGTGGATATTTTTTTATCGGTTATTAGGTTCATTTTAACCCATAAATTCCATAGGTTAGTTTTTATGGCTCACCCTATCTCCAGTCATATATTCACAAAGTTTAATGACTTGGAAACTTAACATAGTGCTTTGCTAATTGCTTATCATTGCCTAGTAACTATAAAATGTGTTCTGCTGTTTCTTGTTCTGATCAACAAAATCTGCACATTGCTTCATGTTATAATCTCGTCAGCTTTAGATGCCTATTGAAATTGCAATGCCCTGTTCGTAAACCTACTTAACGTTTTAAAAGGTTTCCTGTCTCTACTTATCAGGTTTGCAGTAAATGTTGGCAACTGTTCTGCTACGAAATATTTGATCTGCCGCTGCTGACAGAACGATATTAATTTGAGTGTTTTTTTTAAATAATTTAAATACTTTGGAAATTCCGTAGTTTTAAACTTATTGCAGTTTGATTACCTCCATTTATCTGATAATACAGATCGCTAGTGATTGGTCAAAAATATTTTTTTCTATAACGGTTTCCGTGAGTTTTAATTAGCAATAATTATTTTTACCGATACTTTGAAATCTATAACTGGAAAGAGAATAATCACTTCCCGATAGCAATGACCCAAATCTATCATTTTTGTCAAAAGTCTCATTTTTGTTGTGTTATTAAGTTTTCAATGCGCTCAGAAAGAGATGTCTCATTTTTCCGAATTCCGGCTGCTTTGACCAAGAGAGGAGATAATTTAAATGCATTATCTAAAGTGCGAAGAGAAGCGTGCAGCGTGGGTAAAGTTTAGAAACGAGGACCTCTGAATGAAAGCAAGATTAAAAACAAACGAATTTGATCGGGGCACTTTATAACAATTTTTTATAGGAGAGCCAGCTACGTTAGAAGTATAATCCAGACTGAATACCCAGCCAAAATATGGGATATGCTTCCTGTCTCCAACCCTGCAAGTCTCATCTTCTATATCTGAGAGATTAAATAAAAGAGTTAAAAATGAATCAGAGGTTTGTTATTTTCAGTGTAAATATACTAAGTTATATACATGCGTATTAAATATTTTTATCTTTAGGTTGAAGATGTTGCAATAAACGATGTAAATCAACCAGTGAATTTTCATAATCATCCAAGGGATACATTACATAATTCTCCTCCAAAGAAATATATTAAACAAACAACAAATTTCTGTACGAGATCATAACAACCTAGTAATAACCTAGTGAGGCTGTGCAAACTGATTTATCTGTAGAAAATCTAAGTCGTGTTTTTGATGAATTAAACTTTTGAAATAATTCAAAATATTGTTATACACTACAAAATAAGCTTCATTTATCTGAAAAATTAATATAACAGAGGATTGTTTTAAAGCAGATGACAAAAAAACTTAATATTTTGCGGAACTTCCAAAAGCAGATATGCTTTTTATAATTCATGATTACATTTCTTCACATCTTTCTTCCCACTTTAACTATTTCCCTTTCCACAGTTTTCCAACTACTTTTAACTTTTATGTTTTTCTTTACTCTTTCTTCTGGCGCGGCGGCGCGGCGTACTAACTCAAGATCTATAAATATTCCAAGATCGACATTCCAGCAAGACCCATAGCACAGAATATCTAGCTACGCAACAGAAAAATACTCGAAATGAAAGAGCTAAAATTGCACAAATAAAATACTTGATGGCGCGACAATATCATAATCAGAATATAATTGGAAATTTTTAACTTTTGGTTTTGGATCGACGTAGATCGACAGCACGTCGACGGCCTTGAAGCTCGGCTAAAAATGCACAGTTGCCAGATTCAAACAGACTTTAATTGGCCTCCCATTCTTTTTCTGGTGTATAATAAATAATAATAATTCCTTTCTATTCTTCGTTTCTTGTCAGATACACTTATATTAATTATTCGTTTGGCTTTTAAAATAGTTTTAATTTTAAGTATATTATTAGAAAACATATGCTCTCAAAATACATTTTTAATATACACTACTTTATTATGTTAACTAAGAAAATAACTTTAACTACCTTTAAAATTAATAATATACAGAGCGATTGATAGTGATATTTATTAATGCTGAAACGTTAGTAATGAAATATACGTTTAATAATAATGGAAATGATTTATTAAAATTCAGTACAAAAAATGTTAATTGACTAAAAAAATACTATAAAAACAATTTTTTTCTGTTTGCCACGTTATTTATATAGACCTAGGTAGATTTTAAAAAGTGACACAGGTACAATTAATAATATATTAGTTCGGCATAAAAGTTGCTGTCACGACATCGTACAATAAATTAAAATTCATAAAATAAATTAAAATTATTAATTAAACAAATCTTTATCAAGTATATCAAGTTTGGGCCCAATCAAACGCCAGGAAATGGTACCGTAATATGGTACTACATTATGGTACCCCTTGATATGCTTCATGGTACCATAATATTGCAATGTCATCAAAAATACGCAAGTATAATCAAATATGAGCCCAATCGAACGTCAGGAAGTGGTATCGTAATATGGTACTATATTAAGGTACCACTTTATATATGCATCATAGTAGATGCATCATAGTACCATCATATTACAATGTCACCGAAGATACTTACTATACCAAGTTAAGCCCAATCGAACGCCAGGAAATGGTATATGCTTCATGGTACCATAATATTGCAATGTCATCAAAAATATGCAATATCAAATAACAATATCAAAGAACGCCAGGAAATAGTATCGTAATATGGTACTACATTATGGTACCCCTTGATATGCTTCATGGTACCATAATATTGTAATGTCATCAAAAATGCGCAAGTATAATCAAATATGAACCTAATCGAACGTCAGGAAGTGGTATCGTAATATGGTACTATATTAAGGTACCACTTTATATGCATCATAGTACCATCATATTACACTGTCACCGAAGATACTTACTATACCAAGTATAAGTCCAATCGCACGCCAGGAAATGGTATCGTATATGGTACCTCTATCGTATATGGTACCTCTTGATATGCTTCATGGTACCATAATATTACAATGTCACTGAAGATACGTAATATACCAAGTTTAAGCCCAATCGAACGCCGTGTATAGTAATATGGTACTATATTACGGTATCACTTGATATGCTTCATGGTACCATAATATTGCAATGTCATGAAAAATACGCAAGTATATATCAAATACCGTACGATACCGAAAAAAACGGCGTCCAGTTGTCTAGGAAAAGACGATCGATGACATTTCCCATATAAATTTACACATAAAATGACAGCGATTTTCATTTCATAGCCATCGCTGACGCCGTTTTTTCCCGATCATACGGTATGAGCACAATCGAACGTCAGGAAGTGGTGTCGTAATAGTCGAACAATACTTATTATATTGTCGCCGAATTACAATCAAAATTCAGGATTCAGTTAGAATCAAACGTCAGGAAGTAATTTTAATTCAGCTCGTAAGATTTAACTCCAACTAATATGGCGAAAATACTTAAACATTTGAAAAAAGAGCTCTAATCTATTTTAATATGTTTAAATGATGTAGCAAATTTGAAGCTAAGCTTTATCAGGAAATATTACAATATAAATTACACAATGGCAACACTGCATAAAATTCTTTTAAATTTCGTATGTAGAAAACTGTTTTCTTTTAAATTTATCGTCCTCTGTTATGTAGTAGTGAAACTACCGCATCAAAATATCTGATTTGGAGACAGGCTTTTAAAGCCTGTCTCCTTTTGAGACCTACGATTTTATACATGTAACGAGGCTTCTGTTGCGTAGCTAGATATTCTGTGCCCATAGTCTTCTGCCATCGATGAATCCAATGATACTGAACATAAAGTGAATAAATCAAATATTTTTTCATGTTCTTTCTGAATTTCTTAAATCAGCGCCCTCTATTAGATATGGAAATAGTCAACTTTTGACCTACATTTAAACAGACCAGGTGATATTAATAAGCTGATCTGATTGTTTCCTAAAATAATTTGATTAAAAGAAAATCTGTAAAAGTGGACAAAGCTGTGTCGGTCGCAAAGCTTAATCACGGGACTTAAAGTTTATTTGGTATGAACTATAGATGGCTCTCCTAGTTCGTTTTTATAAAATTCTCTTTATGCAACTATGAAAATTGATTATCGCCATTTTATTTAAATGGAAGTTAAAACAGTCTTTGATTACGAACTACCACACAATATATGAAATTACTAATACTTTAAGCATAGGTACCTGGTGTTACGTAAGCAGTGACTTAAGAAACATTAACTCGGTTGCTTATTGATTTTTAGAACTTTTGCTAAGCAATTTTACAACCATCAACGTGGTCAAATAAAAAACAATATTTCACGCAGTCTTTTGTTTGATTGAGCAGCGCTCCGAACCTATCTGTTACAGCTTTGTTGGAAATTCTTATCGTCCAGTTGGATATTGTAATTTTTATGAACTACTCACCTTACGGAATACCTGGTCATTACGAGACTCAGGCGTGGCTGCCGCATCGCGGAGCCGGAGCGTCGAAGGTGGGACCCAGCGTCGTTTATTGGCGGAAGAGGCGGCTACGCCGTCCTAAAATTACATTTAGATTAGTCTATAATGATATTAATTAAAAAAATGAAGACACGTTTTGTGTTAAGATACAATCTACTTAGAGTAAGATATAATATGTATATATTTCCACACGATACACATGCTACATAAAAAATAAATGATACAGTTCGGCGTATAAAAAATTAATGTAGCAGCATTTGGTCAAAGACAATTACCTCAATTTTTACATCCGCACGACAATGTAGTACTTTGGCTATGAATTTTAAATATTACTGCCATAAGGGCTTACTATAAAACTTGAAATTAGTACGCGAGATATTATACCGTATGAGCGAAAAAAAAAACGGCGTCAGCGATGGCTATGAAATGAAGATTACTGTTATTTTATATGTAAAATTATATGGGGAATGTCATCGATGTTCATTTCCAAGCCAACTGGACGCCGTTTTTTTCGATCCTACGCTATAAAAACGTCAGATTACGAATCATATCTATTATGTTTTATATTTTATATTTTTTGTGTTTTATGAGGTTTCTCGTTTAATAGTAGAGATACAAAAATGCGGTTTTCACGTAGGCGTGCCGGATTGGGAATGGAGTTTTTATGGAACTAAAGATGCTACACAAAGATTTGTCTTAGCCGTCTTCGTTAATAGAATACAAGGCAAATTAAAAAAAATAAATTAAATTAAAAAAAAGTCTATCGAGTGGTGCATAGTCCTTGGAAACATAGGAAATAGCATGCAAATTTCGAACTGTCCAGATATTGGCTCCTCTGTTAATTTTACAGCCAAGTTGTTAATTGGATTTTTAAAGGTCTGCGTATGATGAGTACACATGCCAAATTTGAACAATTTTGGATATGCCGATTTTAAATAATTAAAGAAAAACTATATCGATTTTTCAATTAAAAGTGAAGAATGCAAAACCAGACAAATGCCAATGTACCTTAAATTGTCATCCTATAATTTTGCCAAAGTCAAATTGTATTTTCTAAATGTTAGGCTTTAGCCTCATTCGAACCAGTTTTAAATTACAAAAATACATTTCGGGAACTCTAAGCTTAGCTACAACCAAACTATAACTTGTTATAACCAAACTATAACGTAGTAGTGTAGACAGCACAACAAATTACATTTGACAATGATAAATTCATAAGTTGACAACTTAAGGCATGTTGACAATGTTGACATTTCACTGGCTTTGCATTATTACCTGTTCAGTTTTAATCAAGGTTTTAATAATTCAATTTTAAAATAAATGCTGCTTTTCTTAAATTACTTAAAATCGGCTTTTCCAAAACTGTTTTAATTTGGCATGTGTATTCAGCATAGGCAGACCTTTAACAAAACTGTTTACATTTTAGCTGTAAAGTTAATAGGGGAGGCTATATTTAGAGAGTTCAAAATTTGCACGGGATTTCCTATGTTTCCAACGATGATGCACCATCCCGTATATCATTTGCTTAAGACGTCATTTATAAATTTTACCTTCCCCGATGCACGAGCTGCTTGTGGCCCCGATTGCCTGGGGCTCTCCGTGGTGGGGGTGGGATTCCGCGGGCACCCAATTGCTCGTGTACTGCCCTGCTTTTGGAAGAAAATACTACAGTTACTCTGAAGTGGTCCAATAACCTACAAGTAAGAAAATATGATAATGTAATGCTTAATTTTTCACAAAAAAACGAATTTTAAAATAAACCAATCGTAAATCCAAAAAATTGTCATAAATATATCTAGTACTCTACAGTCTGTCTAATGAACCAGTGCAGATTTCGACAGACGGCATTAAAAAAAATGTTTTACTCATGAATTAAAAAGACACGACAGTAACCGTCACGGATCATCTCGTTGGACAGACTATATAAGACCATTCTGAAGAAAAATCAGTCCTACTGTCACTCGCTTAACAAGAGCTATAACTAACCTAAAGAATAAATGACAGTGGCAGTTATATGTAATTCAAAAATAGATTGTTTTTTGTCATATTTTTTTTATGTCGCCTGTCCAAAATAATATATTCTATTGCTGAAGAGACTAAGCACAACCAGAAATGGACAAAGAAACACTAAATATACACTTTCACTTCGAAATTATGCAATTTCTTTGTTAAATGAATTAAAATAGGTTTGTAATGTTACTAAACATAGAACCAAGTTGTAAAATACCACAGGGTATCTACTGTATACACCAAAAGTATCTAAAGTATGTCCAATGAGAAAGGAAAGGATTTCCACAATGCATCGACGTGACATTAACAGGAATAATTAACAATCTACTTTTGAATTAAACTTGTCATTTCTAGTTGGACAGTCTATCATAGATCTTGATAGGAATAAAATTTTAATTCCATAAAAGTGCTTTTATTAAAAATTAGTTTTAAACTTTTTTTTTAATTTAATGCACATTTAAAGGCAATTAAAAATAATCTTCCCAAGCACGCAGAATCTAGACGCTTAAGTAATGAGGAAAATGCATGTTTTTAAATAATGGTTTTAAAAAATAGTTCATATAATTACAAATTAAACAAAAAAAAATCGTTGATATCGGTTAAGAAATGCCTCTAATATAAAATAATTAAATATTGTTAATTTAAATGGCCGGGCAAACGCTCTTTACCGCGCCTTGCCGCTGTGACGTCACCCGCCGTTCTTCTGGTTGAGTGGAGCCACTTGTGTCTAGCCCTAGCAGGCAACTGTTAAGCCCGACCAATCACGTTAGAGTTTTTGACAAACACGAATGAATTAACACACTCCAAATAACCACGCTAACCAACCTGATTGGTCAAGCTTAATAGTTGACTGCTAGGACTAGACACTTCTAGTGGAGCCAGACGCGTGTTTATTTTACACAGTTTGCTTTTAAACGCTGTTGAATCTGAGTCAAAATTTTAGTTATTTGTGTTAATTAATACATAATTAGTAATTAGTGATATTACAAATAGTAATGGATGAGCGAAAACATAAAAAAATTGTACAAGGCCATGAGAAGAGATGAAAAGAAAAACGTGAAATTATCCACTATTTCTACGATTTATTGTTGTGAAGATCATTTTGATGTAAGTTCATTAATTATGTATATTGTCTTACATAGGTATATGAAATTTGAATGTACAGGGTTACTCATTGTATTTTAACACCCACCTACAGCCTTAACTGCAAGTTTTAGAAGAAAATATTAAATACAAAAGTTGCATGGTTTTTCATATATTCTCTTTTAAAAATAATTCTAGTTGTTGGTGTCTCAAAAAAAGTTGTTCCAGAAAATTGTAGGTATTTTTCGTGTATAATTTCCTATACCTATCTTCAACTGTTTACGAAATATTGACAGTTGAAAGGCGGCCATTTTAACACTTTGACAAGCTCTAAAATCTGAACCAAATGAGATGGGGAAAATGGTTTACATATTCCTATCCTAGTTTTTCATAAGCTACCGAATGATACTAACTTCGAATTTAAGCGGGACTTACAAAAGTTAAGGTTAGTGTTATTAGATACCTTATGAAAAACTAGAGTAGAAATGTGCAAACCTTTATCCTCGATCTGTCTTGACTTTATAGAGCTTGTCAAAGTGTCAAAGGAAAGTGACCGCTTTTCAACTGTCAATATTTCGTAAACATTTGAAGATAGGTATAGGATATTATACATGAAATAATATCTAGAGTATCTAGAAATTTCCGAAGACTTAAAAAATTTTCAGAACACACAAATAATAATTGCACAATAAAAGCACAAAAAGCTCCTTCAATCAACGCTAAAAGCAACAAAAATGTCTTAGTACGCCACCTAAATACGTACATAAACGGAACACGTCTGGCTGCTGCTGGCCATCGCGCGTCGACGAGAACGGCGAGTGACGTCAGACCAATAGAATATCGTTTCAATTCGCGAGGCGTCGTTTGCGTTATCCATAGTATTTTAATTGCCCGTTTTATAAAATTGTGGTACTGCTTTCAAGAAAAAAGTTTTTTTTGCATTTACACAAATTTATTCTAAAAATTGAACAGTTTCTTGCGAAAAATAAAATATATGCATCTTCCTCATTCTACTGCCAAGATAACGGTGATCCTTGTACATGATTTCCACTTTTCCCACAGGATCATATTTGATTCATTTTTCTGAACTAGAGGTACAATATGATCAAAGTTTTAGGATCAAGCGGGTTTTGACTATGACAGTTAAAAATTCTAGTACATATTTCCAACAAAATTGTAAATCTGTCATTATCCGAAGCACGCTTGATCACATAACTTTTTCACTACATCGTAGCCTTGTATATGAAGGACCATAGGTACATATTCTGTCCAGAGGGAGATGAATGTAGTACACAATAACGCAACTAGAAATTTAGGACTCCCGGGCAATTTCAGCCATTGGGCTTAGACCCATATCTCAATTTTTAATCGGTTGGCTGGGACCCTTTATAAGAACCCCCGAGGTAAACTGGGGTGTAGCTACGCCACTGACGACATATGACATTCAAAAAATATAAGTCCAAGAATAATAACGATTAAAAAACATCTTTGAAACAGTAATTAATAGTGATATTTAGAAAAAAAATAGTTGTTAGAAAAGAGACATTTTAAACAAATAATACCTGATAAATCTGATAAAAACTGCGTGTTTAGATAGTGTAATACCATATAAATAATACTCTATATGTGTAATACACTCTCATATAAACCAACATAAAATTAGAATTCAGAAAAATGAGATATGAGTATTGATAGTCAACAGCGGGGGTCTTTTTGAGTTATCTTTTAATATTTCGTTTTGAAAAAAAATGTAGAAAAATGAAAATGCTACCTAAAGTAAATAATAGTTAAATAAGTTTTTTTTAATAATTAAGTTTTTCCAAAGAAAAAAATATTTTAAAACAAAACGTTCTCTAGATGTACGACTTGACGAACATAAAGGTGAAACAATGAATCGGGTATTGCAGATCATGTGTGCTCCAAGTACCACAACATAAAATAGTCGGAAGCCCGGGTTGCCCACAAAGAACCCCATTGGAAAAAGCGCAAATTGAAAGAAGCCGTATTAATTTCTAAGAATAGTAAAATCTTTAGCAATCCAAGTATGAAAATTTCAACCAAGAAATTTCAAGAAAATTATAATAATAATTGACTTACGACAAAACCGGCTTGGCCTAGAAGCACGAAATTTGGTACAGTTGATCCTTGAGAGACGTAAGAAAGGACTAAGAAACAATTTTGAGAAATTCAACCACTAAGGGGGTGAAATTAGAGATGAAACTTTGTATAAAAATTTGTTAAAATCTGTTCAAGGCGTATGAGATTCTGCACAGAGATTCCTTAAATAATATAATAAAGCAGTACGAAGCGATTTTTTGGAAATTTATACACTAAAAGACTGAAATTAAGAGTGAAAATTTATATAAAAAAATGTTGAAAATCAAGTATTGATTGATGAAATTTTGTACAATAACGCAACCATGGTCATTATAAAGGTATTCTTGAAAATTCATCCTCTAAGAGAGTAAAATTGGGTATGAATATTAAAATGGGATGGACTCTTAAAACTATTTTCTAGGGGTATGATACTTTTCTAGGGGTATGATACACAAAAGTTCTTTAAGTGATATGAAACTATAAGCGATTTTGTTTTGAAATTTTATCCTTAAAAGGCCGAAATTAAATGTTTATATGTGTTATATAAAAGTGGCGTAACTGAGCAGTATAAAAAGCAATTTTTGGAAATGCATACCCTCGGATGTGACATTAAAGGTGAAAATTTGTATGAAATTTCTTATATCTTGCCTAGAAATATATACGGGTATCTTCCCTACTCTAAAATTTGGCACAAAATTGAACAAAATGTTGCAATTGAACACTGAGAGAAAAGAATTTGGGAGATAATGTGTTAAGTATAAGACGAGGGGTGTCTCACTATTGGAATTACATGTACATTTTCTTGGCAGTCGCTGGCAGTCATTGGCAGTCGCCTATAATAATTACATGGCAGTCATAGGCAGTCTTCTTCATAGTCATTGGCAGTCGCTTAGCAATGGAAGGATATTTTGGCAGTGCGTGTACATTTTTTACCCGAGTGAGACACCCCTCGGTATAAGAGGAAACTTCTATAGAACTAGCTCAATGTTAAATATCGTATGATCGAAAAAAAACGGCGTCCAGTTGGCTTGGAAATGAACATTGATGACATTCCCATATAATTTTACGCTTATTATCGCTGACGCCGTTTTTGTTTATATTGTACCTTAAAATCTATCTAAATGCCTCTAAAGACAGCAGGCGATCAATTTGATAGGATTAAGAGGTGGTAAGCGGGGGCGATAAAATAATTTTTTGTACATTTCCTAAGTTCACAGTAAAGTGACATAAAATTCTGATGCTCCTGTTTTTTGGCAAGTTACACCCAACCACAAAAGGAATGTATAAGTTTTCCTGGTACAGATTCCAGTTTTATTGGTACCACCTTAAACGCGGAAGAAGTCGAAAGCCAAAGATTATCATTTATCATACATAGGTAGTTGGGAATTTGAACAAGTCAGCACTCCCCCCCCCCCCATGCAAGTGCCCTCGCTACGCCTCTGATTGTATTAATACATATACAATATCAAAATCATTGTTTTCCTATTTGATATTTATTTATATA